AGGTGCACAAGGTAGGGTCCCTCTCCAAGGTGCACAAGGTAGGGTCCCTCTCCAAGGTGCACAAGGTAGGGTCCCTCTCCAAGGTGCACAAGGTAGGGTCCCTCTCCAAGGTGCACAAGGTAGGGTCCCTCTCCAAGGTGCACAAGGTAGGGTCCCTCTCCAAGGTGCACAAGGTAGGGTCCCTCTCCAAGGTGCACAAGGTAGGGTCCCTCTCCAAGGTGCACAAGGTGGGGTCCCTCTCCAAGGTGCACAAGGTAGGGTCCCTCTCCAAGGTGCACAAGGTAGGGTCCCTCTCCAAGGTGCACAAGGTAGGGTCCCTCTCCAAGGTGCACAAGGTAGGGTCCCTCTCCAAGGTGCACAAGGTAGGGTCCCTCTCCAAGGTGCACAAGGTAGGGTCCCTCTCCAAGGTGCACAAGGTAGGGTCCCTCTCCAAGGTGCACAAGGTAGGGTCCCTCTCCAAGGTGCACAAGGTAGGGTCCCTCTCCAAGGTGCACAAGGTAGGGTCCCTCTCCAAGGTGCACAAGGTAGGGTCCCTCTCCAAGGTGCACAAGGTAGGGTCCCTCTCCAAGGTGCACAAGGTAGGGTCCCTCTCCAAGGTGCACAAGGTAGGGTCCCTCTCCAAGGTGCACAAGGTAGGGTCCCTCTCCAAGGTGCACAAGGTAGGGTCCCTCTCCAAGGTGCACAAGGTGGGGTCCCTCTCCAAGGTGCACAAGGTAGGGTCCCTCTCCAAGGTGCACAAGGTAGGGTCCCTCTCCAAGGTGCACAAGGTAGGGTCCCTCTCCAAGGTGCACAAGGTAGGGTCCCTCTCCAAGGTGCACAAGGTAGGGTCCCTCTCCAAGGTGCACAAGGTAGGGTCCAAACCAAGGTGCACAAGGTAGGGTCCCTCTCCAAGGTGCACAAGGTAGGGTCCCTCTCCAAGGTGCACAAGGTAGGGTCCCTCTCCAAGGTGCACAAGGTAGGGTCCCTCTCCAAGGTGCACAAGGTAGGGTCCCTCTCCAAGGTGCACAAGGTAGGGTCCCTCTCCAAGGTGCACAAGGTAGGGTCCCTCTCCAAGGTGCACAAGGTAGGGTCCCTCTCCAAGGTGCACAAGGTAGGGTCCCTCTCCAAGGTGCACAAGGTAGGGTCCCTCTCCAAGGTGCACAAGGTAGGGTCCCTCTCCAAGGTGCACAAGGTAGGGTCCCTCTCCAAGGTGCACAAGGTAGGGTCCCTCTCCAAGGTGCACAAGGTAGGGTCCCTCTCCAAGGTGCACAAGGTAGGGTCCCTCTCCAAGGTGCACAAGGTAGGGTCCCTCTCCAAGGTGCACAAGGTAGGGTCCCTCTCCAAGGTGCACAAGGTAGGGTCCCTCTCCAAGGTGCACAAGGTAGGGTCCCTCTCCAAGGTGCACAAGGTAGGGTCCCTCTCCAAGGTGCACAAGGTAGGGTCCCTCTCCAAGGTGCACAAGGTAGGGTCCCTCTCCAAGGTGCACAAGGTAGGGTCCCTCTCCAAGGTGCACAAGGTAGGGTCCCTCTCCAAGGTGCACAAGGTAGGGTCCCTCTCCAAGGTGCACAAGGTAGGGTCCCTCTCCAAGGTGCACAAGGTAGGGTCCCTCTCCAAGGTGCACAAGGTAGGGTCCCTCTCCAAGGTGCACAAGGTAGGGTCCCTCTCCAAGGTGCACAAGGTAGGGTCCCTCTCCAAGGTGCACAAGGTAGGGTCCCTCTCCAAGGTGCACAAGGTAGGGTCCCTCTCCAAGGTGCACAAGGTAGGGTCCCTCTCCAAGGTGCACAAGGTAGGGTCCCTCTCCAAGGTGCACAAGGTAGGGTCCCTCTCCAAGGTGCACAAGGTAGGGTCCCTCTCCAAGGTGCACAAGGTGGGTCCCTCTCCAAGGTGCACAAGGTAGGGTCCCTCTCCAAGGTGCACAAGGTAGGGTCCCTCTCCAAGGTGCACAAGGTAGGGTCCCTCTCCAAGGTGCACAAGGTAGGGTCCCTCTCCAAGGTGCACAAGGTAGGGTCCCTCTCCAAGGTGCACAAGGTAGGGTCCCTCTCCAAGGTGCACAAGGTAGGGTCCCTCTCCAAGGTGCACAAGGTAGGGTCCCTCTCCAGGTGCACAAGGTAGGGTCCCTCTCCAAGGTGCACAAGGTAGGGTCCCTCTCCAAGGTGCACAAGGTAGGGTCCCTCTCCAAGGTGCACAAGGTAGGGTCCCTCTCCAAGGTGCACAAGGTAGGGTCCCTCTCCAAGGTGCACAAGGTAGGGTCCCTCTCCAAGGTGCACAAGGTAGGGTCCCTCTCCAAGGTGCACAAGGTAGGGTCCCTCTCCAAGGTGCACAAGGTAGGGTCCCTCTCCAAGGTGCACAAGGTGGGTCCCTCTCCAAGGTGCACAAGGTAGGGTCCCTCTCCAAGGTGCACAAGGTAGGGTCCCTCTCCAAGGTGCACAAGGTGGGTCCCTCTCCAAGGTGCACAAGGTAGGGTCCCTCTCCAAGGTGCACAAGGTAGGGTCCCTCTCCAAGGTGCACAAGGTAGGGTCCCTCTCCAAGGTGCACAAGGTAGGGTCCCTCTCCAAGGTGCACAAGGTAGGGTCCCTCTCCAAGGTGCACAAGGTAGGGTCCCTCTCCAAGGTGCACAAGGTAGGGTCCCTCTCCAAGGTGCACAAGGTAGGGTCCCTCTCCAGGTGCACAAGGTAGGGTCCCTCTCCAAGGTGCACAAGGTAGGGTCCCTCTCCAAGGTGCACAAGGTAGGGTCCCTCTCCAAGGTGCACAAGGTAGGGTCCCTCTCCAAGGTGCACAAGGTAGGGTCCCTCTCCAAGGTGCACAAGGTAGGGTCCCTCTCCAAGGTGCACAAGGTAGGGTCCCTCTCCAAGGTGCACAAGGTGGGTCCCTCTCCAAGGTGCACAAGGTAGGGTCCCTCTCCAAGGTGCACAAGGTAGGGTCCCTCTCCAAGGTGCACAAGGTAGGGTCCCTCTCCAAGGTGCACAAGGTAGGGTCCCTCTCCAAGGTGCACAAGGTAGGGTCCCTCTCCAAGGTGCACAAGGTAGGGTCCCTCTCCAAGGTGCACAAGGTAGGGTCCCTCTCCAAGGTGCACAAGGTAGGGTCCCTCTCCAAGGTGCACAAGGTAGGGTCCCTCTCCAAGGTGCACAAGGTGGGGTCCCTCTCCAAGGTGCACAAGGTAGGGTCCCTCTCCAAGGTGCACAAGGTAGGGTCCCTCTCCAAGGTGCACAAGGTAGGGTCCCTCTCCAAGGTGCACAAGGTAGGGTCCCTCTCCAAGGTGCACAAGGTGGGGTCCCTCTCCAAGGTGCACAAGGTGGGGTCCCTCTCCAAGGTGCACAAGGTAGGGTCCCTCTCCAAGGTGCACAAGGTAGGGTCCCTCTCCAAGGTGCACAAGGTGGGGTCCCTCTCCAAGGTGCACAAGGTAGGGTCCCTCTCCAAGGTGCACAAGGTAGGGTCCCTCTCCAAGGTGCACAAGGTGGGGTCCCTCTCCAAGGTGCACAAGGTGGGGTCCCTCTCCAAGGTGCACAAGGTAGGGTCCCTCTCCAAGGTGCACAAGGTAGGGTCCCTCTCCAAGGTGCACAAGGTAGGGTCCCTCTCCAAGGTGCACAAGGTGGGGTCCCTCTCCAAGGTGCACAAGGTAGGGTCCCTCTCCAAGGTGCACAAGGTGGGTCCCTCTCCAAGGTGCACAAGGTAGGGTCCCTCTCCAAGGTGCACAAGGTAGGGTCCCTCTCCAAGGTGCACAAGGTAGGGTCCCTCTCCAAGGTGCACAAGGTAGGGTCCCTCTCCAAGGTGCACAAGGTAGGGTCCCTCTCCAAGGTGCACAAGGTAGGGTCCCTCTCCAAGGTGCACAAGGTAGGGTCCCTCTCCAAGGTGCACAAGGTAGGGTCCCTCTCCAAGGTGCACAAGGTAGGGTCCCTCTCCAAGGTGCACAAGGTAGGGTCCCTCTCCAAGGTGCACAAGGTAGGGTCCCTCTCCAAGGTGCACAAGGTGGGTCCCTCTCCAAGGTGCACAAGGTAGGGTCCCTCTCCAAGGTGCACAAGGTAGGGTCCCTCTCCAAGGTGCACAAGGTAGGGTCCCTCTCCAAGGTGCACAAGGTAGGGTCCCTCTCCAAGGTGCACAAGGTAGGGTCCCTCTCCAAGGTGCACAAGGAGGGGTCCCTCTCCAAGGTGCACAAGGTGGGGTCCCTCTCCAGGTGCACAAGGTGGGTCCCTCTCCAAGGTGCACAAGGTAGGGTCCCTCTCCAAGGTGCACAAGGTGGGGTCCCTCTCCAAGGTGCACAAGGTGGGGTCCCTCTCCAAGGTGCACAAGGTAGGGTCCCTCTCCAAGGTGCACAAGGTAGGGTCCCTCTCCAAGGTGCACAAGGTGGGGTCCCTCTCCAAGGTGCACAAGGTAGGGTCCCTCTCCAAGGTGCACAAGGTGGGGTCCCTCTCCAAGGTGCACAAGGTGGGGTCCCTCTCCAAGGTGCACAAGGTGGGGTCCCTCTCCAAGGTGCACAAGGTGGGGTCCCTCTCCAAGGTGCACAAGGTGGGGTCCCTCTCCAAGGTGCACAAGGTAGGGTCCCTCTCCAAGGTGCACAAGGTAGGGTCCCTCTCCAAGGTGCACAAGGTGGGGTCCCTCTCCAAGGTGCACAAGGTGGGGTCCCTCTCCAAGGTGCACAAGGTGGGGTCCCTCTCCAAGGTGCACAAGGTGGCACATGGATGTATCCATACACCAGGAATGTATCCATACACCAGGAATGTATCCATACACTAAGTGCATCATACATGTATTGTATAAATATCCATACACCATGTATGAAGGGGGCAGCAAGCAGGAACTAGTATTAAACTCTATGACAAAATAGTAAACAATTAGCAAGAGATCAAGATGCAAGACTAGACCTAAATTTTCGCCACATTGATCAAGAACATTACAAAAGCAGTCAACATTGCAGAGGTGCAAGCAGCTAGGAGCGAGGAAGACATCGTGTGAGGGAGAGTGAGTGAGAGAGAGTGAGGAAGGAGTGAGGAAGAAGCTACGAGGAGTAGGTGAGGGGGTCGTACCGGTATATAGACGAGGGCTCTGTGTCGTGGGGGCCACCGAGCGGGCCACCAAGGGGGCCCAACACTATCCCGGACACCTGCACATCCAGGTCGCTTGTGGCTGTGTCCAACAGGGTGCTTTTCGTCTCATTTTCAACGTACGAATTGACTGTGACGTTGTCCATGGTAGTGGTACGTCCTGTAGGCTTGCCCGAAGGAGGTAAACACCAGTGCTTTTCTAGCACAAGTTTGAGTGAAGATGGCTTGTAACTGCAGGTACTACAGCTGCAGGTGATGACAGCTTCGACGAGACGGTTGTTGTCAGCAAATACATAAAGCTCACATTGGTTACAACGACACAGTTCTGTACGATGTAATTACCCTTAAATGTCATTGGTCTGAACACTCTACAGTTCTTCAGGCTGCTATATGTTCATTTTCCTTTTTCGTTATGGCCATAAAACAAATAATCTATGTAAAATTTATTCACAACAAGATTTTATGCTATTATGTTTTATGTAATCTTTAAATATTTTATTTTTGCTTTAATACTTTAATAAAAATTTTTTTTACTTTAATCCGAATAAAAATGAGCCCAGTTTTTCTTTGATTTCGGAAAAGAAATCGTTGTTATCTGCCGATAATATTGACGAGCCGGTGAGGGATGGGAGGAGTGTATGCTGTAAGGAGTTTGATATATTGTATATCTATCTATATATATATATATGATATCCGGGAGAGAGTAGAGCATAGCAGTAGCAGTAGCACTACGTGTAGCGGGACACGCAAACACAGCGCAGTAGCCCCTTGCGCCCGCCACACTCACACACTATAGGGGCTACACACATAGAGTGACACAGTACTACACCACGGCTACATGCACACTATGCAAGCTACACACCGCTGGCCTAGACACCGTAGTCTACACTGGGGGGGCTACTTCAGGGCTACACACGGCTGCAAGAACAACGCGCTACTGGACCAACATGGCCCAAGCAACCAACCATCTTCCAAGGCCCTCTTCAGGGCCAGAGAGAATGTTTCAGGGGAGTAATGAAGGGCGGACAGGATCAGGGCAAGGATCAGGAACCGGTTGTAGGGTTCAGTGTAATAGGCCAGAAATGGTGCTGAAAGCCAGGGACTGAGAGACGGAAGGCAAGGGGTGAAGAAGTCAAAATTTAGGGATCAATGCTTAGGGACAGATTGAAATTAGGGTCGGGGGGGTGGGTTACACTACTAGGGATAGTCAGGGATGGCGTAAGGACCACGAATTGAGCTTAAATAAAGGTATCTGACCTAATTAGAGCCTGGGGCAAGACCTCAGGGGCAAAGGAAGACATAGGGTCAGTGCAGAATACTAGGGTTGTGAACAAGCGTCAGATTCAGGGCCAATGACAAGTGATAATGAAGAGTTAGGGATACTGAGAGGGTTTTGAACAAAGGACAAATCTCAGGGCCACAGCTAAGATTCAGGGCCAAGATCTTAAAAATCAGGTGACCTTTAAAAGGTTAAAAGTTCAAAATCAGGCATAAATGTCAAGGTCAAAGATCAGGGCCAAGAGATAGAGTGATGATCAGGGTCACAATTTAGACTGATCATTCAGGGTTATGAAGTAGGGCGATAATTCAAGGTCAGGAACTAGGGGTGATGACTTAGGGTCACAAACTATGGTGATGTGTCGGGGTTAAGACTTAGAATGGTGATTCAGGGTCAAGAATGCATGTCATGATTCAGGGGTCAAGATTAGGCAAATGATTCAGGGTTAAGAGCTATGAAGATAATTCAGGGTCACGAACGAAGGTGTTCATTCAGAGTCTCGAACTAGCATGGTGATTCAGGGACAAGAACTAGGGGTGATGATTCAGTCAGGGATTAGGGTGAATGATTAGAATCTAGACTCTGAGGATCAGGACACGAAAAGAATGCTTAGGGCTAATGAGTAAGCGAAAATAACTCAAGGTTTAGGGCTAGAACAAATATTTAAAAGTAGGGACAGGCCTCAGGGCCGTAGGGACAAAACCGAGGAAAAATAGACCAGAGCCACAGCCAAGAGCAGCTTTTCAGGGCCATAGAGAAAGCTTAGGGCATGGCAAAGAGACAGAAATAAGGCTCAGAGCTTTACAGAAAGTTCAGGGAAAAAACCTAATTCAGGGCCAATGGCCTAAATGAGAAATAAAAGTTCAGTGGGAAACATTGACAACTCAGGGACACGTGACTAAGATTGAAAACTAGGAAACAGGTATTTACAGGGTATAGTTAGGGCCAGCATTAGGGTCGTGTCGTTGACAAACCTAGTGATTGGAGTTCAGGAGTTACGTATAACCAGGTGTCAGGAATCAGGGCCAGGTGTCAGGAATCAGGACCAGATGTCAGGAATTAGGGCCAGATGTCAGGAATTAGGGCCAGATGTCAGGAATTAGGGCCAGATGTCAGGAATTAGGGCCAGATGTCAGGAATTAGGGCCAGATGTTCAGGGTCACAGTCAGGGATCAGGATACGTAGAGATCAAACCGACAAGTGATGTGTGAGTTTATTCACTGATCTTATAACATAAAAATTAGCAATGCAAATGATTTCGGCACTTGCAGATAATTCACACAAATGAAATAGTTCACTTTAACTCTATTAGTAATTAATGACATTAATGGAGCACTTATAATTAATTTTTCCTGATATCACAGATGGAAAATCCTGGACCCAAGTTCCAGGTTTCTGATTCAATGAAAATTAACTGGAATATCGTGCTTAAAATCACTGATAAACACTACAAAAAATCCTTTCTACATCACTCAAGCCGGAGAGATCCTGCTACGAGAGAGAGAGATAGAGATAAATAGAGAAAGAGATAAGGAAAGTGTGAAGGATATCGAAGGATGTTGGTGGTCACCTGGGCCAGGAGGCGCATGGCACGGGAGGGTCCTGCGTCCCACCTGCCTCGCCGCCAGAGCTTCACTGCCACAACGTTCCAACCGTTTCACTAACGGGGAAAACATCTCGTACCGGCAAGCACACTAGGCCATGCACCACAAATATATATCTCGCAACTATAAAGTTGAATTAACAAATTCCGATATTGCTGTTTATATGTGTCCATACGAATATACAGACGCTATGAGGAATTGCTAAATTGTTAATGAGGTAGAGTAGTTTAAGAGCAATATTCTTACGTCTGGCAGGCAATGTTCCAGAAGGCGCCAAGTTTGCGTCCTAGAATTCCAGTATTGATTCCAGGCCTTCCACTCGGCTCCGGAATGAACAGTGAAAAGCTGCCGTTCTGGTGGGTATCACCCCTTTCCAAAATGACAACGTATATCGCCACAGAGGATAAGCTTACAGAACCGTCAGAATAGGGGGTATCCCGCCCCAAATACTGAGCGATCTGAAACTTCCAATTCTCCGATCGTATCTGAGAGACAAATGAGAGTCTGTAACAAGATGGCGGATACGTTGGTGCACAAAACGAGCGAAAATTAAGGGGAAATGCAGTGAATAAGACCCAACTCAGTCCGCCACGTTGCTGCATTGCGGCCAGATACTGTATACAAACTTTCACAGAAAATGGTATATATAGAACCATCGTTAGAAAATGGGAAAAAAAGAGGATCATGAACTTTGGGAACGAGAGAAAACGTATCAGAGACAATGGTGGACTAAAAGTTTTTACGAGCTGCGGGTCTCACATAAACGACAGCCAGACTGAAGTTAATCGTCTGTATCTTTTAAAACTTTGATTTTTGTGGCATCCACACACGGAAAACTTTCTCTTTTCCTATATATGACCTCGACCTCACATATATGACTTTTTCATATGTGTATAAACACATAAAATACGAAAACAAAGTTTCAAATTCTATTTAATTCCCAAATTAGTACATATTACACGATGACTCAACCAGAGCAGATATACCATGCAAATTAGGAGTCGAGAATTGTGGAATGACCTGTATAGAGATATACAGGGGCCAGATACCTGAGTGGACAGCACTCGGGATTCGTAGTCCTAAGGTTCCGGGTTCGATCCCCGGCGGAAGTGGAAACAAATGGGCAGAGTTTCTTTCACCCTGATGCATCTGTTCACCTAGCAGTAAATAAGTACCGGGGAGTTAGACAGCTGCTACGGGCTGCTTCCTGGGGGGTGTGTAACAAAAAGGAGACCTGGTTGAAGACCGGGCCGCGGGGACGCTAAGCCCCGAAATCATCTTAAGATAACCTCAAGATGGCCTAGAATGCGGTACATCTCTTAACCAACAAAATTGATAATTAAGATCGTAATTCGTTTTAAGGGAGCCGAGCGGACAGCACGCAGGACTTGTGATCCTGTGGTCCTGGGTTCGATCCCAGGCGCCGGCGAGAAACAATGGGCAGAGTTTCTTTCACCCTATGCCCCTGTTACCTAGCAGCAAAATAGGTACCTGGGTGTTAGTCAGCTGTCACGAGCTGCTTCCTGGGGGTGGAGGCCTGGTCGAGGACCGGGCCGTGGGACACTAAAAGCCCCGAAATCATCTCAAGATAACCTCAAGATTAGGGGACAAGAAGCCTGTGCATATATATGCAACCCCACAACGGTTGACAAGATTCTGGGTACCTATTGACTGCTAGCCGAACAGGTCTATTAGGTGAAGAGAAACGTGCCCAACCGCTTCTGTCCCGCCTGTGTTTGCTGTTATAAGAACATAAGAATAAAGGTAACTTCAGAAGGCCTATTGGCCCATACGAGGCAGCTCCTATTTATAACCACCCAATCCCAAACATGTCCAACCCACGGTAATTGGTTCCACAAATCAACGATCCTGTTACCGAACCAGTACTTACCCAGGTCTTTCCTGAATCTAAACTTATCCAGTTTATAATCATTGTTTCGTGTTCTGTCTTGTGTTGATACTTTTAATACCCTATTAATATCCCCTTTCTTATGTCCATTCATCCACTTGTAAATCTCTATCTTGTCATCCAGCATCACTTCGCCTTACCAGTGAATGCAATTTAAGCTTTATTAATCTTTCTTCATATGACAGGTTTCTAATTTGGGGAATTAACTTAGTCATCCTACGCTGGACACGTTCAAGTGAATTTATATCCATTCTATAGTACGGCGACCAAAACTGAACTGCATAATCTAAATGGGGCCTAACTAGAGCATGATATAGCTGAAGAACAACACCAGGTGTTAGTAGTGCTACTAACTAACGTTAGTAGCGTTACTAACGTTACTTATTATTCCCAGATCCCTTTCGCAATCCAATTTCACAATCTCAACACCATCTAGCTCGTATCTTGTAACTCTATCATCATTACCTAGCCTCAAAACTTTACATTTATCAGCATTAAACTGCATCTGCCAATCTTTTGACCATTTCAAAACCCTATTTAGATCGACTTGAAGTGATAGAGAGTATTTTTCCGTGCTAATTTCCCTACCGATTATTGTATCATCGGCAAAGTTGCAAATATTGCTACTCAAACCTGAATCTAAATCATTTATATATATTATAAACAACAGAGGTCCCAGGACAGAGCCTTGAGGCACCCCACTTACAACATTTTCCCACTCTGACTTAACCCCATTTATACTAACTCTTTGTTTCCTTTGATATAGCCATGCCCTAATCCAACTTAATATAGCACGCCCTATTAATATAGAACCCCCCAGTTACAATATGGAGGTTCTGTATGTATAGTGAGAACATACAGTACCTCTCCCCATTTTACAGCTACTGTATCTTTAGAGATAAAAAAAATTTGTCTCTCAAATTCACCATTATAAATATTACTTATGAAAATAATTAATTATTTGCAAAATTGTCTTTACCTAATCATACATGACAGCTCCGTTGAATTTTATAAAGGGTTTGCTTAAGGTATTAGAAAGATCATCCATTATGTTGTAGCTGAAATACAACGACCAATTTGTCGCTTTATTTGTAATACAATGTATCGCACATAAGAGGCACTAGCTACAAGCTCAACAAGCCACAATATAACACAAGGAACAACAGCTACAAGCTCAACAAGCCACAATGTAACACAAGGAACAACAGCTGCAAGCTCAACAAGCCACAATGTAACACAAGGGACAACAGCTACAAGCTCAACAAGCCACAATGTAACACAAGGGACAACAGCTACAAGCTCAACAAGCCACAATGTAACACAAGGGACAACAGCTAACAGCTACAAGCTCAACAAGCCACAATATAACACAAGGAACAACAGCTACAAGCTCAACAAGCCACAATGTAACACAAGGGACAACAGCTACAAGCTCAACAAGCCACAATGTAACACAAGGAACAACAGCTACAAGCTCAACAAGCCACAATGTAACACAAGGGGCAACAGCTAACAGCTACAAGCTCAACAAGCCACAATGTAGGACTGAGAACAGGAGAGGCTTTTTCACTCTCACGGTTATAAACCCATGGAACCGCCTACCCACCGAAGCCGTAAATGGCAAGACATTTCTTCTGTTTAAAATTCAGCTGGAAATTTTCCTCAAGAACAGAGGAAAGATTTTTTTATTTAGAAAATGCCGACTTACTGTCACCGTCGAGGCCACTAGACTACCATGATGGGGAAATATGGATTTCGGAGTACAAACTTTTCAGATGTGAGAGGAAACACCGGCTTCAGGGTGGGGTCAGTCTCTACATCAAAGACACACTCATCTGTACTGAGCTGCTAAACACCTCAAATGATATGGCGGAAGTGCTGATAATCAAAATAGAGATCTTAAATGTAGTTATTGTCCTTGTATATAAGTCACCGGAGGCAAATCACCAGCAGTTTAAAGACCAACTACTGAAAATAGAACACTGCTTGGAAAACCTCACAAATCCAGCTCCGAACATCATCCTGCTTGGGGACTTCAACCTACGTCACCTGAAATGGAAGCACCTGGCTAATACAGTAATATCAGAAAGAATACCAGGAAGTAGCCTAAATGAACAGGCACATGCAAATGACCTGCTACGGATGTGCGACAGGTTTGCCTTAAACAACAATGGTAGAACCAACTAGGAAGGAGAACACCCTGGACTTCGTTTTCACCAATAATGATGAACTGATCAGGAACATAATGATTACAAATACCTGTTACTAACTGTTACCTGTTACTATTACTTGGAATAGACCTTTGAAACCAGTCCCGATTCCCGGTGGAGGAGATTTCAGCAAATTCAACTTTAATAATAAGCAGATAAACTGGGAGTAAATAAACTAAGACTTCACAGAAATAAGCTGGGAAGAACAGCTAGAAAATTCAAACCTGAACCAGTGCCTGGAAAAAATAAGCTCAGTAGCACTAGAAATATGCACAAAGCGCATACCCCTAAGAAAAAAGAGGAAAAGACGCAGATTGGAACGGGAACGTCGTTCCCTATATAAGCGAAGAAAACGAATCGCGGAACAACTTGAGAGTCGCACCCTATCTCAAGAACGGCGAAGAAGGTTAGGTAGAGAAATAGAAACAAGTGAACTCAAGCTACAAGAATCATACAAAACCCAGGAGAGGCAAAGAGAGCAAAAGGCCTTCTGTGAAATAGAGAGAAATCCGAAATACTTTTTCTCCTATGCAAAATCAAGATAAAAAAAACGCATCTAGTATCGGGCCCCTGCGAAAGGGAGATGGAACTTTCACCGATGACAACAAAGAAATGAGCGAGTTACTGAAGAAGCAGTACGACTCTGTTTTTAGCGAGCCACTAAACACACTAAAGATTGATAACGCAAATTAATTTTTCATGGATATGATACCAACATCAAATCATATATCAGACGTCACCCTATCCCCCCTGGATTTTGAAGAAGCCATAGACAGTATGCCTATGCACTCTGCACCAGGCCCTGATTCTTGGAACTCCATATTCATCAAGAACTGAAAAAACACTATCGCAGGCCCTTCACATTCTTTGGAGTCAAAGCGTAGATACTGGCGTTATCCCTGACAT